AATAAATAAATAAATCCCTCTTTTTTTAAAAAAAAAAATATCATACAACTGCATGTAATATTTCTGCCTTTTTATTTCACAGCCACTGTAATAAAAACTTTTGAAAATCGTGATTTCTTTGACCAATGTGTTACTAAAGCCCGCTTCTTTCCTACTCTTCATGATGCTATACTCTTTGCTGTGGAGCCCACTCTGTCGGAAGATATTGTTCCAGTGGAAACCCAAAATGCAGCTCCTGAGGACATGATGGCAGAAGTACATTTAGATGATGAAAAGGTATAATGAAGGTTCATGATAAATGTACCATATGATTAATACTGGAAAGCCTTCGTTTATGAGCTATTGCTGTATTATACTTACAAGGGGCATCTCGGAGTAGTCACAGCACAGATGATTTGCAATTATTTTTAGTTCATCCCTAGGATTCTGCTGAGCACTTATATTGTTCTGCTACATGATTCATGATTCAGATTTCTTCCTGCCATTTACATAATCTTTTTCAAGGTTCTCTCTATCCCTAGATTAAATATGTCAATGATGATGATTATAGTTCTTATCCTCCTGTTGCCAGTCCAGTATGACACTCGTGTTTCTAGAAAAAAAACACAATGCACCTAGGAAAAGCCAATAAAAATTCTCCAACGAGAATCTTCCATGGACTTCAACACAGCTGAGATGGTCCCTTTTAAGCTAAATGTACAGAGCAGGATTGCTTGTGCTAATTTTGCCAATCGGCTGATTTTGCTAGCCTCACTCTGAGGGTTGCACATTCAATGAAACACTTATACAGTAAAGGGATACCCATATACAGTATACAACCCTGATTATTTAATACTTCTAAAGCAGAGGTCCCTAACCTTCAGGCCACGGACCAATACCAAGCCACTCTTAGAAACCAGGCCATGAAGCTGGAGGTGAGCGGTGGGCAAACGAGCAAAATTGAAACCATCCCCCCGCAGTCCATGGACAAATTGTCTTCCATGAAACAGGTTCCTGGTGCCAAAAAGGTTGGAGACCGCTGTTCTGTAGCATCTACATGAATGCAGCTATATAGATCCTGGTAACATTCAATTTAGTGGATAAGAAACATGGATATGTGAGAGTGTGTATTGGTGTATCTTTGTGAATTTCTGTATATGTAGGCATTATATATTTGTGGACATTTCAGGATATAAGAAGTTACCACTCTGGGAGAAGTAAGCAATCAGAGAGAAGGAGTCAGCAGTCCAATGGGATCAGAGATGCCGCCACACCCAAAACTGTTCCAAGTGAAACGTACATTGAAGAGCCCATATCTGATCTTTTCCGCACATTTTCTCTCCAGAGTGACTTAGAGGGTACATCTCATCACCCTATTGAAACATCTCCCCTTGAGGACAATGAAGATGATCAAGAATGGGAAGGAAAGTGGAATTATTCCAGAGATGTGTAAATTATGAGATCTATTCAAATTAGCTAAATAAACAATAGCAAAAATATAATGTAGTTAATCTGGACTATGTCTTCTTCCTCCCAGTCCCCTGGGAGCAATATCCTAGGTTAAATGGTTAGCCCTTTTTTCATTGACATTACTGCAAAGTGATGCAACATTTATATAACCAATAATTCATTGAAAGAATATATATTTTCTTTAAAAAGTATATTTTGATTAGAATGACATTTACTATAAAGCTATCAATATGAAAATCATTTATTTATTAATGTATTAACTCTCAGAGGGTTTTTTTTTTACTATGTATGCTTTCTATCTTCCCAAAAGAATTTTTTTACTTAACTGTATATGGGTTGCAGTTTTAATACTTTAAATAATAGATTTTGGATGTATAAATGCTGCCATATTTTAGACTCCAAGTTTAGCTACTTGGTGAGAGAGGGCAGTGTAACTTTGCTACTCCATTCCAACTCCACAGCTATCCACAAAAAATCCTTCCAGGTGCTGCTAGCTGCAAAAATAAAAATAGATTTGCTGTTGGCACTGCCATTACCTTGCAGCGCTAGACAAGGCTCACATGTTATCAGTCATTCCCTCCTGCTTCACTCCAGTGTTTTGTTGGACATGGTTTAGTGCTCTTCCAGAAGAATGCTATATGTATTCAGAAATAATGGAATCAACACAAGCATGAATAACCTCCAGGTCTGAAATGTGATGGTAAAACAACTTGACTGATCACTGAATACATTCCATGTACCAACATACAATCACCCAATTCTGACTTACATATTTTAGGCGGATTGATTGTTGCTTTCTACTAGTAGGTGACACTTAGAGGGAGAGAAAGCAAAGCCAATACAAGCCACCAATTGATTTCCTTTGGTTTCACATTAAAATGGTCAGGACAGCATCAATCGCTGGCCTTGTGACTGTGTTAGGACAAGGTATGGCAACTGGTACCAAATTTAATCCCGACACACTCTTCTCCTGGCATGGTTTGAGAGATGGCATTGCAATGTGAGCCTGGAGATTTGTGAAAACCAATTATATAAAATATGACTTTTTATTTGTGTGTGATTCTAGATAATTGCTTATTTAGTAATCCATGGTTAAGTAAGGTATGGCTTAGGGCAGGGGTCCTCAACCTTGGCAACTTTAAGACTTGTGGACTTCAAGTCCACAATATAATGCTTAGGGCATTATATGAACTAGGTTCTGCTGGATTTAAAGGTGACAAAAGACAAAAGGTCTTTTATTGCACATATCACATCCAATTTTCTGCACATCAGTTAAAATGAAACAATATAAAAACTACCAGTATTTAAGAAACAATTACAGTAGGACATCCTCTCCACTTAGTATTATACTTTTAGAGAACCATACAAGAATTATTGTGCTTCTAGTAATTCCTTGCTGAGAGTTTATTGAACATCACAGCTGTATTTCAAAGCTTCTTTAAAGCACACTGAACAAAATAGAGTAAATGCTTCCTCTGTCTCATGTGCATAATCCATTTGATTTCTTATGTTGTGATTGTTGTATGCATTACTTGACAATTGTGCCTGTAGGGTTATTCCAGGAGTATGCTCATTCTTTCAGTTTAATATGAGAAACAGTACCGAGATTTTTAAACACATTTTTTCAAAGGGTTATTTAATGGACCATTGTCACTTATTTACTTTTTAATGGTAGATTTTTTTTCTGTCTGTGGAACATAAAGGAAGCTCACAAACACAGGTCTCAATTTTATAAGAACCCCTTTTTATTATTGTTCAATCATTGAAAATTTCCCAGTCTTTTCACAGTGTTAGAAACAGAGTTGGCCCCTTTCGAAATAAAGTTACTTAATTTTAGTAATATTGCTATGGAAGAAAAGTGTGGATGATATATAACAAAGTTATATTTATATAAATCAGTGCTTCTCTAAGGCACTTTTTCAGTGCTGTTTAGGAGTAAAAACGACTATTAAAAGAGTCTCCATTCATAAAAAAAAGAACTTTGATTCAGATAAGAGGATAGATTATTTTTATCAATTCATCCTTATTAGCAACTTCCCTCCACATATCACATATGGTACTATGGATACCTCCCAATCTCTTACAACAAATCAGAATTACAAGAGGGAAAGGAATTGGAAAACTACAGTATTAATATGCTTTGGGGGGAACCCTATACACAGATTCTTGAGAAGTTCTTATTTTCAGGAATACATGGGTGAGTGAAAACTTTCAATAAGCTTATGTGGAAGTGTACAGATAGCCCTTGACTTATTTGAGCCTAAAATTTCTGTTGCTAAGTGAGACAGCTGTTAAGTGAGTTTTGCCCCATTTTATGAGCTTTCTTGCCACAGTTGTTAAGTGAATCATTGCAGTTGTTAAGTTAGTAACACAGTTGTTAAATGAATCTGGCTTCTCCATGACTCCATTGACATAAGAAATTTGTCAGAAGGTCGCAAAAGAGATCACATGACTGTGGGACACTGCAAATGTCATAAATATGAGTCAGTTGCCAAACATCTGAATATTGATCACGTGACCATGGGGATGAAGCAATGGTCATCAGGCTGAAAACTGATCATGGGTCACTTTTTTCAGTAGCATTGTAACTTTGAACAGTCAGTAAATGAACTGTGGTAAGTCAAGGACTAGTTATACTGTATTTTCCTAACATAATCATTGCTTCTTATGCCTGTGCTAGGCTAAGATCACGTTTTTCTGTTCCGGTTTCTGTTTTATAAATAATTCTCAGGATAATATTTATGATATTGAACATTATCGTTATCATTATGATCATTATCATTGTTCATGATCATGATATGTTCATGATAAATCTTACTATCAGTAAGATACTCCTTGACTCACAACCATTCATGTAGTGACTGTTCAAAGTTACAATGCTGAAAAAAATGACTTACGACCAAGTTTTCACACTTATGACTGTTTCAGCATCCTCACGGTCACATGAGCACAATTCAGATGCATGACTGCTGGCATCTATTTATGACTGTTGCACTGTCTGGGTATCATGTGATCACCATTTGTAACTTTCCCAGCTGGCTTCCAGCAAGCAAGTCAATGGTGGAAACTAGATTCACCTAAGAACCACATGATTCACTTAACAATTACAATGATTCATTTAACAACTGTGGCAAAAAAGATCATAAAATGGAGTATAACTCACTTAACAACTGTCTTGCTTAGCAACAGAAATGTTGGGTTCCATTGCAGTTGTAAGTCGAGGACTACCTGTATTTAGGGAATTCTGTCTGAACTGAATTTTGCTGCCTGGAAATCCTACATGACATTTCATCTTGCTAAACTCAATAAGTGATTTGTCAGCAAAATAAATAAAACCTGGCCTTTCATTAACTTTACTTTTGGATATCAGTTTTCATATCTATGATTTACTTAGAAAAGGTACTGGACATTCTGTATGAGAAACAAATATTTATATTTATGGAATGGAAGCTAGCTCAGGTAATCCAAATTTATTTATCTGTTGGAAATATGAAAACCTGTATCAATGATCCAAAAACAGAAATACAAAAATGTGTGCTTTTAAAAAATAATCAGAATTCCTGTTTTTTCTTCAGAATGAGTTGCCTCACAAGTTCGATCACATAAGGTTTTATTTCTTCAACAGTGACAGTAGAGTCCCAAGCATTTACCACTTTCCCATCTGAATCTACCAGATATTTCCAGAAGTTCCAAGTTGGCTCTTCTCCAGTGAATTCTACATAAAAAAGTATATACATCAGAGATGTAATATCATAATACTCTAATTTTGCATATTTCCAATCTTAAAAGACATGTAAGATTAAAGAAGACATTTGATTATCCAAAGCAAAATCAAATAATATAAAAACAAAGATTAACCCAGATCTTAGAATTTGGTTTGGAAGAAAAAAGTGCTCAACTAAATAAGCATCTAATGGAACATTTCAGCAAAAAAGAACCTTACAATTGCATTGATCATTCATTTATATATTTTATTAATTAAAATCATTTTGTTTCCAATTGGTGACCTTTAGATGTATTGGATTACAATTTCCATCATCACTAGCCAACAAGACCAATAATAAGCAGGTTTTTCTTTCATCCCTTATTCCCTTTTCCTTTTCTCTGTCTCCTCTGCACCTCAATTTTTAGTTCTCTTTGTTCCCTTCTCTCCCTCTCCCTCCCTCTCTCTCTCTTTCTCTCTCTCTCTCTCTCTCTCTCTCTCTCTTATATTGAAGCAACAGCAAATACTTTTAAAAAGATTTGTGCCTGCTATATTTTTTTTCAAGGCACATTATGTTGAGTTACTTGCAATTCAGGAATAGGGTACTATGAGATAAAGTATAAGACAACTAAATTTTGCTGAAATGTTATTAACTCTATTGATTTCCTGGGATGTAGGAGAAAAATTGAACATAGTAACCAAAAAAAATATCAAATCAATTTATTTTACTATATAAACTTAAAAGAAGCAAAGAAATTATTGTTGAATTCATAGTAATCTTCCCTGAATCTCTCAAAAGTAGGCTATCACTGATAGCCATCATAAAACGTCTACAGTTTTTAGGGAATAACAATAAAATTAGTATTTGCAGCTGATTCAATCTATTTTAATACTCACCAATTAAATATTTAAAGGCTGGATTTGCCCCAATGCCCTTTACTGCTATCTTGCTGAACATAGGAAAGGTAACGCTGTATGTTTGTCTGGCAAAACTCTCAATTTCATTATTACTATTGGGTTCTTGCTGTCCAAACTGATTGCAGGGAAATGCTAGCACATTAAAATGATAGGGACCAAGCTCTTTCTGCAGCTGTTGTAAGGCTTTGTAGTGACTGTCGGTATACCCACATTCACTTGCAACATTGACAACTAGTGATACCTAATGGAAGAAATAAAAAATACAAGTTATAACACATTCTGCTTTCTATTTTCAAAAGTATAGCATGCTTTACTTCCTATACATCCCATTTTCAGAAATAGAGCATCTTGAGAAAAATAATATTTTGCTTTTAGACTTCAGTTATGCATGGATAGACAGTAGATGCAATGGTCAAGGCACCAGCTAGAAACCAGGAAACCATGACTTTTAGTCCCATCTTAGGCACAAAGCCAGCTGTGTGACCTTGAGCCAGTCACTTTCTCTCAAGGAGACAATGGCAAACCACTTCTGAAAAACTTTGCCAAGAAAACTGCAGGGACTTGTTCAGGAAGTCTCAGATACAATTGAACAGAAGAAAAAATAATAACACATACATGCTGATAAACTAATTAACTAAATCCTTTTGAGACTCGTGACAAATTGAAATTAGGTATGTTTGCAGTTATTTTCCCCCTCTCCTCACTAATGGAACACATTAGCCATTGTTCTGTGGACAAATGTGCACTTATCTGGTAAACCTTACACTGTACAATCCAGCTTTATTCTTGAAGTTAACCTGAGGATACCTGTATGGAAATCAGAGGCATTGATGGAGGAGAGATAAAAAATTACTGCCTTGCCTCCTTGAATGTGTGTGTGATATAGATACATATATGCATATGAGGGGCAGGTTTTTACATGCTTGTGATTGTCATCATGACATTTTTTTTTTTTACCCCTCAGGATGCCCATGATTTGTATTTGCTTGTGATCACATTTTGGTGAGTTGGTCAGCCATATAAATCTTTAAGTAAATATTTCTTAATAGGCCAACAATTAAAAATAGTTGCAAATTGTTCAAAATTCTATAGATAATAGGTACCGGTAGGTAGTAAAGAATTATATCTGAGTAGATAATAACAGAATAACAGAGTTGGAAGTGACTTTGGAAGTCTTCTAGTCCAATCTTCCTTGCTCAAGCAGGAAACCCTATCATTTCAGACAAATAGTTGTCCAATCTGTTCTTAAAAATCTCCAGTGTTGCAACATCCCCAACTTCTGGAAGCAACTCATTCCACTAATTAATTGTTCTAACTGCCAGGAAATTTCTCCTTATTCCAGGTTGGTTCTCTCCTTGATTAATTTCCACCCATTGCTTCTTGTCCTGCCTTCAGGTGCTTTTTGGAGAATAGATTGTCCCCTCTCTTCCTTGTGGCAGCCCCTCAGATATTGGAACACTGCTATTATGTCACCCCTATACTTTGTATGCCACTGCAATCCATAAAATGAAACATGGATTTTCCATGTACAAAGATAATTATTTTAAAAAGCCATTCAGCTACATAATCCACTAGGGCTGTGACTTTTTTAAAAATCCCTATCTATCTATCTATCTATCTATCTATCTATCTATCTATCTATCTATCTATCTATCTATCTATCTATCTATCTATCTATCTATCTATTTTCACATTATATATACTGTATACCCATCAGGAACTCAAGGCACTATCCTTTCCCCCCACAAAACAACCCTGCCTAGTATTCTGGGACATGAGAAAAATTGAAAGAAGATCTCAGAGGTTTGAAAGGAAGAATAGGGAAAACATTCAAAAGAATAGAAAGACTGACTCCAGGAAAATTTCTTTTGTACCAAAGGAAGTGTAACAAGTACTGTCAGCCATAACTGCCGTATTTACTGTTTTTTTTAAAAAAGTCTATATAAACAATTGCGCTTAAATTCTAATTATGTAATCAAATTTGCAGGTAGGTGAATATTTAACTTTATATAATGTAAAGGTTGTGTCAATTTCTGTTCACTTTAAGGTTTTATTGAAACAATTTCATCAGGGGATGACTACACTTTTGCATATAACTGCATTGTGTAATTAATTACCTGTGATTAATTTCACATGCCATTTTGGGGTGAATTACATGAGGTAACAGAAGTGGTCATAGAAGTTGTGGGTGGGGACAGAACATTTTCTATGCTAGAATCATAAGTTTTTCACTGCACTTTTCTAAATGGCCATTGAAGCTCTTAACTTCTAATCTAACTAGAGGTAATACCAAAACTAACAACTTTATTTACAGTCAGACACAAAATAAGTAAATAAGGATTCTATTTTGCCATTAATCGTCTATATCTGAATGGCCTTAATATATCAAATAACAATCTTCTCCAGCCATCTATTCTTCAGATATATTGTTGTAGTCATTTCTCAGATGTCAGTTTTGGCCATTAGCAAAGACAAAAATCAGGCATTTTGCTCAAAAAAGATGGCTGTCCAGTAAGTAGCAGCTTTTGGGTCAGAGAAAGGTTGAATTCACTGAATCATTGAATTTTATGTAACTGTTTTAGTTAAAATAGTTGGAATTCTTCTCTACAAGAAAGCTTCTCTACAAGAAAGCTTCCTTATCAGAAGTTCCTGAATTCCTATGTGCCATTGAATTGTTCCCAATTCAGCATGCCAGGAATAACTCTGCCATTTACAGGTAGTCCTCGACTTACAATAGTTCACTTGGTGACCATTCAAAGTTAAAAAGGCACTGAAAAAAGTGACTTATGACCTTTTTTCACAGAATCCCCGTGGTCACATGATCAAAATTCTGATGCTTGACAACTGACTCATACTTATGACGGTTGCAGTGTCCCGGAGTCATGTGATCCCATTTTGCAACGTTCTGACAAGCAAAGTCAAAGGGGGAAGCCAGATTCACTTAACAACAGGGTTACTAATTTAACAACTGCAGTGATTCACATAACAGCTGTGGCAAGAAAGGTCATAAAATGAAGCAAAATTCACTTAACAAATGTTTCACTTAGCAACAGGAATGTGGGCTCAATTGTGGTCATACCTGGTCATAATCCAGGTAGTCATCCAGGACTACCTGGATTAGGACTACAATTCCCAGGATTTCTAGTCAGCTGCTATACTGAGTTGGATTTTCTGGGGACAGAGTGGCTGCTTATTTGGAAAGCAACATTATAGGAAGGTTGCTGTATGGCTAACCAGAACTTGTAAAGGACCAGCTACAGTACTGGATGATAAAATATGGAAAATCTATGCTTCGATAAGCCATCAAATAAATTGTGAATGTAGAATTGCCTCTATATTTTAATTCCTCCTTTCAATCTGAGAAAGCCAACAACTGCGCTGACTAGAAATAATGGGATTTGTCATCCCATTATTCCTTGAGAATACTAGATTGTAGAGGGCTTAGCCCTTAAATGTAAGATAACAGTTGAGAATCAAACTATTGTCAATACATTATGCGTAACCCCTGAAAACTGAATGTGAATCACGTTTGCCATCTAGTGGACACTGTAACTCCTCCTGCATTTTACTTCCAACATCTTGGAAGTGTGCATTAAATGTGTGCATCAAAAAAAGTTGAAAATGAAACAAAATACTGTAAGAATAGCTTCTGGAGAGATGGAGAGCATGTAAGATAGATGATAGATAAGGTAGATAGATAAACATTTAAGTACTATATATGCGTAGCAATGAATTCCCTACATTTAATGTGTGATCAGAATTTATTTATCTATGTATTTGCTTGTCAACTCTAGTTGGCAAAGATATCCAAATATATTCTCCTCCTATTTTCCCCACAACCACCCTGTGAGATGAGTTGGGCTGAGAGAGACTGACTAGACCAGGGATAGGCAACCTTGGCTCTTTTATGACTCATGGACTTCAACTCCCAGAATTCCTGGCTCAGGAATTCTGAGAGTTGAAGTCCACGAATCATAAAAGAGCCAAGGTTGCCTACCCCTGGACTAGACCAAGGTCACCAAGCTTCCTTTCATGGCCAAGGCGAGGTTTGAATTCACAGACTCTTGCTTTCTAGCTTGATGCCTTAACCACTAGACCACTGACCATATTACGAAGCATTCAGATCACTTGAAGTATTTCTGTAAATCTATGATAAAACTGGAAGAAATTATCAGGGCATATAATATTGGAAAATATATTAGCTGCTATCATAAAAAGGACAAGATATGGAATTCTATCTGGGAAGTAGCTGTGAAATTATACACACACAGACACACACATTTTAAGCATACTTTAAAATATTTGTTTATTTTTATTTTTCACGTTGTTTTTTGAACTGCTGAGCTCCTTCAGAGAAGGACTCTGGGTATTGCTACTTTCGTTATGCAATTTCTGATTTTACAAGTGACTTTATGAGAAGTTGACAATTTCAGCATAATTTTTGTTTTTCTTCTTTCTTTCTACAAAATCTATTATGGAAGAAAAGATGAAATAACTATAGTAATGCTAAGAAGCTTCTTTCTGGGATTAGTCAAGTATTTAGCAATTCAGTGGGTAACTTATAATTCTTGTGAGGCTAAAAGTAAGGCTTGACTGTGTTAATGCTACTTTACACTCTTTAAAGCAGAGTTCCCCAACGTTTCCGGCTTTGCGGAATGATGGGGGGTAGGGGGAGAGGGGATGGTTCCATGCAAGTGGCCGGCAAGCATCCACGCGCGCACAACTCCATTTGTGCAAGTGGCGTGCCTGCCCACGCCAATGGACCACCTGTGCTTGCCTGCTGCTCATGCAAGGGAGAATGCATATGTGCGTGTGCTCATGCTGGCGATTTCCGTAGCCTGGTTGCAATCCCCTCATGGCCCATAGACTGGAGAACCTTGCTTTAGAGGAAATATATGATATAACAAATTCATTAAAAGTGTTTATAAATGTTATCCTCTTGGACAATGAGAAATGTAAAGAGTATATTGGAATAAACTAAGTATTCTAAAGAAGTCTATTAAAGTACATGTAACCTTCTTTGTTAACAATGAAAATACGAAAGTGGTAGATAGCTTGTCTTTTAGGATCAACTATCAACAGTAAACAAACCAGCAGTCAAGAACTATACTACAGACTAGTGCTAAGTAGAGGAGCAATGAAGATTTTGGAAAAGTTATTCAGATGTCAAAGATTAGAATGGTGCAGTCAATGGTTTTCCTTTTGGCAGTATGGAAGAACAAGTTGGACAACTAGTTTTATATCAGAGCATCAAAGTTTTATATCTGTTTGCATCAAAGTCTGGATAAAGGGTTTTTATTTGTAGATTGCCAAGATATAGTACATTAATATTCTTTCTGTGAATTCTTCAAAATTAGTACCCAAAAGTATCTCATTGTCACTATTTTTTCTCCATAGGAACTTAATGTGTGTGCATGTGTGTGTGTATGTGTGTAGAAGGAAGGAAGGAAGGAAGGAAGGAAGGAAGGAAGGAAGGAAGGAAGGACAGAGAACATCCTGATTTGATTTATATATATATATACTTGGGTATGCATTAATATCAGAGGAAAATAAAGGCAGGAAGTAAAGATGGTAACAACTACTTTTATCCTCAACCCATTCAAAAATCCATTTTAATAAGTTACAGTAGGGTTTCTATGCACTGTCCTAATTAATTAAATTCTTAATTAGGTCTCAATTTAAAATTAAAATTAAGACCTTGAAATATCTATTTACCTATCTGGTTTCAGATTTTAAATAAAGATATTATCATCATCACCAATATATATATCAGTAATTAAAGCCTCAGCAAGCAGTAATAAATTTTAATGTAGATCAGTATACATTATGGTAAAATAATCTATACAGGATTATTTCTTATCTGCCTGCATTTGGAACTATGCTTCTCTGTGCAATTCATTACAAGTGATGCCACTTCAAAGGAAGTATTTGTGTTTTCCATGTTACTCCTAAATCTCTAACTAGAAGTTCAGTATGGTTTATATGGAATATAGAAGGAAAAATAGTTTTCAGGCAGAAGGTTTTTTATCTCAGGTGCTTTTTAATAATTATATGTATCAAACACATGTTTCTTACCTGCTATATGATAAAAAAAAAACCTCTGAACCTTTAGTTAAATTCACATCTCTAGAAAGAGCATTAAGTTCAATTTCTGAGTTCTAAAACATTAATTCTAAATTATTTACTTTACCTGGATTTCCTTCAGACTAACTTTCTACATGACAGAAACATCCAGTGGTAAAACTCAAGTGAATTTTAGTATTTTATTATCTTTTTTTTTTTTTTTAAGGAATCCGAGTCCGATGTTGGAGCTGTCTTTATAGGACGATACCTACTCTGCCTCCCTCCATCCCGGTTAGTCAATTGTTTGTTTTGTATTAAAGCAGGGGTAGTCAACCTTGGCTCTTTTACGACTCGTGGACTTCAACTCCCAGAATTCCTGAGCCAGCTAAGCTGGCTCAGGAATTCTGGGAATTGAAGTCCACGAGTCGTAAAAGAGCCAAGGTTGACTACCCCTGTATTAAAGAGAGCGAATGGTTTGCAGGATCGTTCGGTAAATCATTTTTCCGGGGGAAAAAAAAACTCCACGCCTTCATCTCGCCTATTCAGAGACATGCTCAAATGTAAGCGGGGAGGTTCAGCCCGCCTGCCACGTAGATGCGGAATCGGCTGTTCACAAAAGACAGAGGGAGACAAACTCCGCGCCCGCGGACAGAAGAAGAAAAGGGGAAAAGGTCCGACTGTAAACTTTTTAATAAGAGCTTTACAGACCCGTAGACGCAAAGGCGCAGGCAACCGGGAGCCCCATCAGGACACCCACCCCGCAAACCCTCCCAGCCAGATCGGTGCGCCTTCTCCTTTTCCCCGCCCGTCATGCAGGCATGCCGAGACGACTCGCCGGTTAGTTGGTGCAGCGGAGGTGGCTCTCCTTCGCAGACTTACCGAGCCTCGGTATTTGTCCAGGGAGACTAGTTTACCCCTGATGTTGACCACTTTAAAGGAGTAAAAATTGTCCTCGTTCTGTTCGGTGGCCGAAAAGGCCAAGAACAGCAGGGCTCCCGTGACCGTCAGCATGGCTAGAAGGATAAGCAAAAATTTAGGAAAGGGAGAACCAATTTTAGGCTCCGCACTGTCCTCGGGATCTAACATACTGCACCGCTTTCTACTGACGTCCTCGTTACCGCAAAGCATTGCGGGAATGAAAAAAAAAAAGCATTACGGCTGGAATGAAGGAACGAATAAAGGTAACGGGTTCATCTTCTTGAACGAGAAGTTCGTCTTTCAAGTTCGTTCTTGTTGCTGTGGGAAGTTAGCCCAGAGAAGGAACTATTAAAAAGGCAGAAAGAAA